CGTCTCTTTGCACACGGAAAAAAAAAGCCTTGGCCAAAAACCATCGGCACTGGCGGCGGGCCATTTCAATTATGGTTGATTTAATAGTGGCTTTGATTGCTTAATTTGTTAACAAAGGTTGGTCCTCTACGAGTTTAGTCAGCATTCATGTTAATGGCCAATTAACCGCTGACTGCACGGCGGCTATGGGGAATACACCAATTAGCTGCGACCGCCTGACGCCACCTCTGGCTCTACCGCCTCTCTGTCTGGACTGTCTTGGTCTCTACCCTGGTGTCTAAATAATATTTTATAATGTATGCAATGAATTCAGATACAACCGCAACACAATGCACGTGCCGGAACCAGCTAACAACAAAATTTCATTAACAAAAAAGAAGCGAATGCGAAACGAAAACCGAAGATGGGATGCTCTTGCTTTGAGTTGCCCCCTTTGCGAAAATTGAGTCGAAAAATGTTCCTAGTCATGCACACGACATGTATAGTGCTTTGGATTTTTCGCTGGTGCATCGGAGTGCCATTAGTGGGTGCAGGTTGGGATCTACAGTGAAACTGTGACTGAAATCACAAAAGACATTCTACAACAGATGTCACCAGAAGTTAAAAACATATAAAAACAATTGCCACAGGAAGTCCACAATTATCAGACAATTAAATTACATTTACATAAAAAAACTTCCCTATTTAATGTGCTATAATTAATGTTTATTTTAAAGGAAGTACTTGTAGTACTTTCAAGTAGTTTTTGTACTTGTTTCGAGGGATTTAATGCCAAATATAGGAATATTTTAAAGTAATCCTCTGTATTACTCTCTTGCCCATTAAATTTCTATTTCCACAGATAATCTTCTATCTGAAATTGAACATTTAATGGCCCTGCGTAGAGAGTTTCTCCATCGCATACTCTACTTAAGACCTAACTCATGATACCCCGAAAAAAAAAACTTTCTATTTCATTGCGTTTGGGTTCCGGTTTTTGGTCTTCATCTTCGACTTTGGATGTCAGCGCGGCGATCTTTTGGTCAAAAGTGAATCAATGAATACGATCGTGGAGTATTTGGGTCAATGTCAGGCACTCGCTTGGATGGCGGATGACGATGAGATGATGATGATATTGCGATGCTGGAGCACCTGATTAACATATGAGATGTGTACACACTTGATGGCCGAAAGACCAGAGAGACAGACCGAGGAGGGTGCCTTAGATCTGCCCTCATCCCTGGGCTGCTGCAAACTTTGATTCGGTTTTAATTTCAAGTCCCTTTAGAGGGTAAAACTTTTTGGCAAAGAAAAAGCAACGAAAAAGGCCTGTGAAAAAGCCTTTTGATGTGCCAGCCAGCCAGCCAGCCAGCAGTCTGTTGTGGGCTTAACTTTTGCTTCAAAACTGAACGAATTTCTTGGCTCTGAGACTCTGAGACTCTGCGGCTCTCCCGCCCCCCTCTGTGACTGCATACAAATTAGCAGCAGGCATGGCATTCGCATTTTTGGTAGAAAGTAAAACTGTTTTTGTTGCCGTTTTCTGTGCGTCGTCTCTTCTTTTTTTTTTCTCTTTTTTTTTATATTAATTTATTTGATTGTGTGGCCCACACGACGACAACTTTTACTTTTTGTTTGTGGATCCAAACTTGTAAATTACAAAAAAAAAAAAAAAAAAAAAAATACTGCTGCCAAAATTGTTTCAAATTTGTTTCTTTCTCCGGTGGCTAGGGAAAATCTTGTTAGCCTCCTTATCCGCTTAATGCCGGGCATTAATCTCTATGGCAAGTGTTTTGCGACTTGACTTTGCTCTTAGCCAAAAAGCCTGTTGGGGGGATGGATGGCCAGATAAGAAATTGGTTGGAAAAACGCAACTGACAGCAGATAAAAGACACATCGAACTTCGATCTAGATTAATTCAAACGAATTTCAATAAAACTATATCTGGCTTTGACCCTGTTTCCCTCATATCTAATCGGATGCCGAGAATCGGGGCCACTTTCTATGTGGACGCACAATTAGCCATCAATCCTGTCAAGTCTCATCACTCTTCCGGCGACGCTTGCAACATCAGAGCGTGGTGTGCCCTCAATCCCACGGCAGTTGCAATTACCCCGTTTAGGCCACCGTTTGGCCTGACTTCTCTCTCTCTCTCTCTCTCTGTGTCTCGGATGAGTCATGGACGTGTACACCCATGGGATCGTAATCGTAATCAAGTCTTCCTCAAAGCATAAAACAGAAAAGAGGTAGAACAAGTAGAGGCAAAAGAGTTATGAGTCATGAATCATGGTAGGATCAAGGTCTAGCCGAACAGCAGGGGAAAACTACTTTATTAAGGAAAGAATATCATGCATTAAGTTGCAAGAAAGAAGCCTCCGTTGGCAAGTCTGTGGCAGTCGGATCCAACCGGTTGTCATGGAGATCCCCGGAGCTGTCCGCTTTTTCCCTTCCCCTCCCCCAAAAACTGTGCTGCAAAAAGTGCTGTGAGAAGAATCTCTAAATGTTTCAATGACAAAAATTTATATGCCCTTCGAGACCTGGTCTGAATTATCATCAGGAAAATCGATAAACTATTGCTGATAGCCGGCTAGATAGTGGTATCAGTCGAAGAGCCGTGGCAGTATCTGTGCCACAATATGCAGAATATAATAATCAACAATCTCATCCAGCAGATAGACTACAAAAACAAACTAATAGCCATATGACATTAGACTTTGCTGCGAAGGGAGAGTGATATCATGAGAGACAATACATAAAATTTGCCCTCATACTCTTCTCCCGACTACACTATGCAACAAAATTGACATTTTTTTCTGCTGTAAGCCAAACCGAGTTTTTTTTTTATAAATTTAGAGCTTTAAAAAACAAATTTTTTGTATATATTTTTACAGTTTTTTTTGCAGAGGCAGTCCTTTTTTTCATATAACTTAAGAATCTTACATCTGGTTTTATTGAACTTTTCAATTCTAAAAAGCTGATAAGTGCAGCTATAAATCGGACCCAAACACTTTGTAGCTTAAGCTTACCGTCTGGAAAATATAAATCAAAAAACTAAAAAATATATATATTTACAATAAAAGAGCTCGTGGGAAAGCTGTAATAGCGTAGGAAAAAGCTAAAATATTGGCATATCGAGACAGCAACCTTATAACCAGGCAGATAGCCAGTCTGTTCTGTCTCATTTCTTGAGAGATCCATCAAATTATGAAAATAATTTGAAAGCTCTTAACAGAAAAGCACTCAGGCCTTGGGATCGATCACCTTTGGGAGTAAAAGCTAGTATAGCAATAGCAATATATTTCGTGTAAGATGAATACCATTCTCTTCAAAGAGCTACTCCATTTCCAACATCTTTGAGACATTACAGTGGAGTTTTCAGCAAGACAATGCCCCAATCCATAGAAGTGGATTGAAGATCAAAATGTTGCATTAATGGAGTGTCCACCTTACTCTCCTGATGTAAATATAATAGAGAACGTATGTATGAATCCAGAGCACAATTTGAACATTTTGAATCATGCCATCAAAAACGCCTGGAGCAAAGTATCCTTGGACCATTTGAAGTCCTTGAATGATTCAATGTCAAATCAAATTTGCGAAGTCATTTCCAATAAATTCCAAACACCCATTAATAAACAGACTTTTTAATATCATAAAAATACAATCTGATTTGTCATTTGTATTAATTTTAGGCACTTGAGGCTATGCCATTGATCCAATGTGAAATTTTTTAAGGTTCACAAACAAAACGAAATATTTGAAAAAATAACCGTTTGATTTAGAAACGTTTTTTTTTTATTAAAGAATGGAATCTTGAATATTAAAAAAAAAAAATTGTTTAACCCATTCATATCTTGATTTTTAAAATAAAATTTCCTATAGGAACATATACACTCTTATATGAATATCCCTTATTTGTATATCTCTCCCGCTCCGACTTGATGCTTTTTCCGTAAGACTATCTCTGTTTTAGCAAAAAATCAGGCTGTCAAAAGGCTATAAAGCATATCTACTATGTTCTTTTTTCAGCCTTTTTATTTTTCCCTAATATTTTTATATGATATGTAGTGGAATACGAAAGTTAAGATCGTATTGCTTGCATTAAAACATCAGCGTAGTGGGTGAATATTAAATAAAATACAGTACCTTATGGATTTGATTTATTATAATAAATCAAATTATTTAGAATAGTTAGGCAGAAAGCAGTATAAGAATAGTTTTAATAGTTTCCCAGTGACTCTCTGCCTTTTAAAGAAATAGTTTCATAGCTTTCAGTTCGAATAACCTCGCTTCTTGCATAAAGCATAACCATCCCACCCTTCATTGTTTTATAGCTGTCAACGAAAAAGTATAATGGACACTACAGTTTTAATAGTTTCATGGCAACCAGCCTACATAGCCTGGGTTTCATAGCAGCCAGCTTAAATAATCACACAGCAGCGAGCTTTTGAAGGCCTCACAATAGGGACCTTTGCTAGAATCCGTTTTAGAACGTTTTTCCTGCTCCAGATCATTTTTGGATCAACTTTAAAATTCTTTTAAAAAAATTGAGACTAATGAAAAATATGACAATGATATGCAATACACTTAGCAGAACAGCAGCAAAATCTCCACGAAATGATAAATATATACTAAAAGAAAACCATGAATAAATAAGCATTTTCAAGCTACAGAAACACATAGCCTAAAACGTTACGAAAACTTGTAAATTCCCTTCAAAACACCACATAATAAAGTGCATTATAATGTTTTACTGATGGAACCCATCAAGAATGACACGAAAAACCATTGCCCTTTGCTGTGTTGTCGCCTTCTAGAACATGCGATTTTTCAGAGTTCCTTGGAAAACCTCAAGACTCACGTAATGTATTATTAGAAATAAGACACGAAAATACTTACGGATAAACAGGAACCAGCGGCAGCAGCAGCAGCAGCAGCGCACCCTCTTTGTATTTCCGTCTGTCTAGTATATAAAAATAACAAAATGTAATTATTTATTGAACATACACATAAATATTTCGGGAGGAAAACAGCCAAGTGTCCCCCTTACATAAGCGATGTCTAATAAGGTAATCCATAAAATGCTGTCGCCGGAGAAGGAGGAGGAGGATGCCAGAGGTCCCCAAAAATATTAATTTGATAAATTAATGCACGCACACGCCGGGGTCCTCAGGAAGGGATCTGCTCCTGTATCCTCTTTTTTGGGGCACAGATACACTGTGTATCTTTGGCACACATTTTATGGCACATTTATCAAATGTTTGTTGATTGTTTTTCGCCATTCCTCGCCATACCTGAGACCCAAACAAATCGTTGCACATTTGTTACGATTCTTAGTTTATTGGAATCGAATTCGCTGCAGCTGAAAAATTTATATTAAACAAGCAAGCAAAGGCAATTAAATTTTAAATACTAGACGAAAGGCATATAAACAATAAACAGGCGAATGGCGATCAACCGTACGCCATGATGGGATGCTCTCGCGCTCTCCCTGTGTGGGGAAAGTACTATACATAGGAGTATATACCCTAGATACATACGTACAGGCACGAGAAACTAATGTAAATCAAAGTCCAAAGCCATGGCCACGATTCCATATAACGAATCAATCGATACGTGAGCCGAAAATTCAATAACAAACAGCCATAAATTAGAGGCGTTAATTGCAATAATTTTAGCATTTAATTTAATTTATTCTCCCGATGCGCAACAGAAATATATTTTTTTTGGATTCCAGCAAAAGAAAATTCTAGTCTAGTCCGGGGGGAGATCTTTTGATTAAACAGAATGGAAACAAGAATTTAACACAGAAGTATATATCGGGAATACTTTTTAGATAAATGAGGATATCAGCGAAGCTCCAAGTCGATCATCAATGAGCCTTGTATTTTGTTTTTGCATTCGCGAAAATTCTCTTTGAAGCCGCGCGTCATTTGCGGCCAAGGAAGTGCTCGGCGTTTGTTTAAACAGAAACCAAACAAGAGATGAACACAGAAAGATATTTTGGGATACTTTTCGGTTACCACTTTCCATCTGCGAGGAAGTCTTCTTCCGTAACATTTAAGGAGTCATTTGGATGACACGATCTTGATTTGTTTTGCATTATCTTTTAGCATCGCATCGCTAAGTGATTTTTGGTGGCAAAAACAATATAGAATTATGTGGAAAATTCCCATCGGGTGGAGAGGCCATAAATAAGGCGCGCGTTCAGCGCCAAAGATTCCAGGAAACCCCCAACCGAATACGTTCCGCTATTCCACCCACACCCACAGCCCCAAAGACAGAGTGAAACTGTCTGACGGGTCTGACGCATCCCATGATCTGGCTCCCCCTCCGATTCTCGGTAGCTTGGCAATTGCCCGCCGCGTACTCTATGGGCATATTAATTGCCATCCATCCTCTGGGTTATTCCAAGAGGCAGGGCAGGGCAGGGCAGGGCAGGGCCATTGTCTGTTTCAATTTGGGTAAATGCAAATGCTGAACGCGTTCAGCTTGATATTTTCGCAGAATTAATATTTAAGGCGATCCACGATCCAACTCTGGACATGGCAATCGGGTATTCAATTGTATCACTTTGGGGGTAAATGCAGCACAGTGCCGAACAGTGTTCCAATTATTCATAATTTCGTCATGAATATAGGGCCAATGTTTACAAGACACTCTTGTGGCCAGATAAATAAATATTCATAACAATGACACAAGTATTTTATATCTTTAAATGAATCTTTGAATGCTCTTCGATTTTGAAAGTTCTACCCTTTCTTATGGGTATTTAAATTGGGGTCTATCTAGAGCCTCCCTCCCAAATCGTATAAGCGAAAAGTTCAAGGGAGAATGCAAAAACAAAATACATGTGGTGTGCAGGACGAGGGTTTTTACGATAGGGTCTAGAAGTACCCACACTCAGGGGAAAATGGCATTATAAATGTAGGTCTAATTATGCCCAACATTAAACTTTTAGGGTTATATGCCATAACTATAACTCCCTCTGCCATACCTTATCCCCCGGACTATCCCTAATAATATCCCTAAGCATGTAATATTTATAATCACCTAAATTTAACTTCTCCTCTTGCCTCCTTTTGTAACTACATAAGTACCATTATATAATATATATATTATATATAATTGGTTTTTAAATACAAAAATTGTGAAATTAAATAGAATTTACTTTGATTTATGTTTAAAAAAATTATTAAAAAGTATTATATATAAATATAAAATACTTAAAATTAAATATATTTGTGGGAAATATATTCACTTGAAATATACCATTTCAGGACTTTTTTCTCTGGGTGTATCTTTAATAGATATATCTATTCGTACAATAGATGTACTTGAGTATCCCAATCTCTGTCTCTCTTTCGATCACCCCGGCATAGCCCCTGTACTGCATATGTACATATATTCCCCGACCATTTCAATAGTTATTCCTCCTCTAAAATCGCAATAACCCTGTCAACCCCACAGCGGCGGCAGCAGTGGCGGCGGCCATAAGGTTGAGGTCGTCGGCAACATCCGTTCTGGCGAGAGTGCTTTCAAATGTAAACAAATGTAAAAAAAAAGTATGCAAAACAATGCAGAAACAGCACCCCTCACAGAACGTTTGTTGCCAAATAGTGGAAAAGGTCTTGCCGCCCGCCGTCCTTGCCCCACCAGCAGCGTCCAATCGTTCGAGAGACATCCTCCAGAACTGTTTTTCTGCTATTTTTTTTCCAGTTCTTCCATCCACACGGAGGCTATATTTAAACATTTCGCCATTCAGCAGCCATTCAGATTTTACCAGGCGCCCCCGTTAATTGTTTTTCTAGAGATGTGGCTATAGCTGGTGCAAAGACCGAAACGAAACCGACCAAAAATAAACAATTTGAATAAAAATGAAAAATTTTCGTATAATTTGTTCTATAGTTCGGTGTTCTCCACCGGATTTGGCCAGACCCATTTACATTTCACACTCGTTCGTGCACTTTTCTTCCATTTACATAGAAGCCCAACGTCATCATTGGCTGTGGATTTGGATGTGGATGTAGACACACTTTCAAATGTTGTCATTTTGCCGTACTTCACACCCAGCTTGATGGACTTTTAATGGCAACAATTTGTGGTTTTTGTTTTGCCTTCGAACTAAGTTATATTGCAAATTTAGTAGCGGGTTCAAAACAATTATATTCAATAATGTTTCTATGGGAATTAGGCAGGCAGGAAATTGAAGAAAATTGGACAGGAAAAGAATCTAGAATCGATCACAGAAAGATCACAGACAGAGAGGTCAATACACCCGGCACTTATAGGGCTTCGTCGAAAGACGTCGATTCGTTGTACAATTTTCTCATAAACGAAAGGACTTCGCACAAGAACATAAAACAAAAGATCCAACTCGATTTTACGATGAAATATACAATGTATTAGATAAATTATCACTGATGCCGATAGTTTATCGTTCAGATAGTTTTTAAAATCGTTGCACTAGATAAATTATCACTCATATCGCTAATTTATCGATCAGATACTTTTTTAAATCTTTTAAAAATACGCTACTACTCGGAATCTATCTGGTTGAAAATAAATCCTTCTTTTTATCTTTCTCTTTACCTTTTTACCCTTTAAGTAAACAGTAAAGCACCACATCTCCCTCTCTATTCAGATCTAGCTCTCTCCCAGTGAGACTTGTACTAAAACAAGACTTGTACATAAAGTTTTTCATAGAGATATGGTCATAGATGTCTATATAGCAATTGAATACCGGGTAACTTACTGTCGAGGCAACTCCAACGTTCCCACTGGTATTTTTGAACTGTATTGAAAATTGATTGAACCTACATCATCGGCGAATATGACTGGGAGAATGATAATGGAACTGAGGCTGGATGATGAGGCCTCGCAGCAAAGTACATATTTCGTTTAAACACCTTCCTATAAAGAGATGAGACTCTTTCTTAAGTAATCATCGGCCATACTGGATTCTTTTGTTCTTCAGTAGATACCTGGTCTTTGGTCAAACGAATGAAATATAGTACATCTTTGTTCTGTGAGGGTCTTCAGTAATATTTACTTATAACTTTTGGGGGATCTTCTTCTAAAGTGTAAACCAAGCCTCAAATCAGTGACTGAAATACCCAAGTCCCAAAATATGACAAACAGCTGACGATATTTGCTCATTTGATGACCATTTTGGTGTACGTGCTTTTTCGCAAGTTTTTGTTTTTGTATGTAAGTGAAAAGTATTTGGAGCCATTCTAGGAATCCGACCGAACCCCAACCGAAAATAGATTTTCAGAATAGACAGCGAAATCAGTGAGATCCAAGGATGAATCTCGCATTTCGTATTCTATTCGGACACCGAGTGGTATGCCACGCACATTCATTTACATGATCTTGATCTACTCTTTCAGCCCTGGCCTTTGTTCAGTGCACCCCGGCACGGCCCGGTACGGCTGCTGCTACTGCTGCTGGTTTTTTTTCGCCATAAAAAGCTTTACCAAAAAATAACATCAACAATCGCCAGCCAGGCTCTCATAAGCGGTGCCTTTTATTTCAGCCACAGATAGAGAGAGAGAAAAAACCAAATTTCTGTTGCTGTTTCAGTTTTTGTTTGGAATATTAAAATCCAATTTGTTTATGCCTCGCCAGTTTTTACGATGACCGACCCCACAGTTCCAGGCCCTGCCGGCTGCCCCTTGAGGGTGCAAGATCTATGTCTATAACTATAAAAAAAAAAGAGTATACTTGGGAAAGTTTTGGGGCTAAAGCTATAACATTTTTGAAGTGAGAATTCCCCAAACGGGTAATTGCTTTTTCCATCTAATGAAAGTTCTAGTTGTGCTGTGCTGTGCACTTGGGGAACGAATGCAGGGTCCAGCCAAATAATGATGTTAAGTTTAATGAAGCCATGTCTTAGGTTAAATTCCTTTGGAATGGTCTTTGGAATTTAAAGTTCTGACTTATTCTAATTGGATTTTGTACGCGTATTTGTCAGGGTTTGGATTAATATTTGTTGGAGTTTCATTTCATTGAGCCACGGAATTTTCATAAGAGTTCCCTGGGTGCTCCTTGGGCTCTTAAAAGGCTACCAAGGCTTCACTTCTTCCCCTTCTTCGGCGCCCAGACATTTCCCTCTCACTCACCAACGGCAAGGACCCACGTTTGAAGTCTGCTTCTATCTCTCTTCTAGCTCCTACTATCCTCTCTCAAGTCTTTCTTAGAACTACAGCATGGGTGGATCTCAATCCACCAATAAACACAAAACAACCCTTATTAGAAAAACCCGAATCGATCAGCGATGCGCCTACGAAGCCCTTGATGTTGTTATTGAATTCGTGGGACCGAGTCTCGTGTCGAAAAGAATACCGGTGACAAGGCACTTACCTAAAGAAAAGAGAAGAGTATACACTAGAGGCCTACATGTATCCACATTCATAAAATCCCTGCTTTCGATCACTACAAATCATTCCTTCAATCATATTCGTATTGCCCCGAATCTCGGTGGATAAAAATCAGCAAATTTTCAGTCTCTGAAAGGAAAGAACTCGTATTATTCATAAAATTAAAGAACTGGTTTAGCCCCCACAGAGAATAAATAGTTTGGAGTTGTTTAAAAACAAATACCCTTACATATCGAATCGAATTACCACTGAATCTCCATTCTATCGTTCTCTAGTGGGTTCTGTTTTTAAGAGTCTCTCTCTTAAGCACTCCAAGTACTCCAAAGGCATGCCTCTTTGGTCTCTTGAGTGCTGATATTGTTTATGGCCTAAAAGGCTTCGGATTACACAATCTAAAGTCAAAGCCGAAGCCGAAGCCGAGCCGTAGCCAAAAGCCAAAGCCATTGCCTGCTACTCGTAAATCCCATAGCACTCTGGAAGCCAAGCCCCATGGCATCTGCCAAAGTGGCATTCATTTGATTTATTTTCCATTTTTTGTGTGTGTATTTCTCCGCCTGAAAACATTGTTTATGGCTGCAAGATAGGCACCTCACACCCAGATACCACATACTCGTGCATATGTGGGATATGCGCCGGCGCACAGAGAGATCCCACAGAGATCTGGACAGACTTTGAATATTTATGGGGCATTGCCTAACGGCGGCAGGCCCGCCTGGAAGGACAATTGTGTATGCGGGGCACGTGGTGGTCGAGAGCGATCGTTAAGCCACGCCAACTGATGGCTTAATTGGAACCAGAGCGGAGCGGAGCGGCGGCATGCGGAACTCGGTCTGGGCCTCGGTCTGGGCTTAAGCCATCAATCATGGATTCCCCTTAACACCTGACTGTAATGGGATAAACTGGCGTAGAGAGGCATTCCACATCGTCAAGGACGACCGACGCTGAAATCCGCTTAGTGTAATAACAAGTTTTGTACCCTTTCTTATAGAGAAGGCACTTAAATGTCTTACAGAAGGTCCCAAAAACAGATAAGGAAATGTTTCCGCAATTAAATCCTGTCTTGATTTACGGAGAAAAGGCTAGATATCACATACAACTGTTCCCATTGCTGTGTGATTTATTCTTCAGCTAACAAGATTCCACGACTTGGGCTTGAAACCGAGAATGCAAAAACAAAATACACGTCGCGCTGGGATCTTTAGGATATCGCCATATGCATTGTCTTTTTGCCCATTTCTAGGGAAGCTCTACTTTGCCTGTTCTAAAGATCTATCTTGTATCTCTCCTCCAGTATTGAAGGCTGTTCGAAGAGGATTTGTTGTTTGAATTATAGAACTAAAATTCCGGAAACTTAACTTAATATTTTATGTAAAATTATTTGCTTTGAAATTATGGGTATGTGTATTGTAAACTTCTTAAAAAAAATAAAAAAACCTATACGTACTGTGACAATTTGATGATAAAATGGAAACCTTCGGGTTAGGGTATCTCGCAAATGGAGCCTCGTTCTTGCTGGTTTCGTTGCAAGCCGCTTAGAGGTCGTAATTATCGCCTGAGCTTCAGCTTCAGCTTCAGTTTCAGCCTCAGCCTCCACCTCAGCCTCAGTCTGTGCCTGGGCCTGGGTCCTGTGCCTCATTTTGTGTGTGTGTGCCTGTGCCTGGGGTGCCTTTGAATGTGTCAACAGTTAAATCGATACGTTTCAGTTGTTTCAGTTAATTCCTTTGCCCTGTCCTGGGCTCCCCAGTTGCCCTTGTTGTTGCTGCCAACAAAAGTTGACTGGCCTCCTCCTCCTCCTGGCTCGTGGAGCGTCCTTGGGGCCTGTCGGCTATAGAACATATTGTAGTTAAATAATGTGGAAAAACTCGATACTGACAGGCGGATTTCCCTCCGTTTTTTTCTCTCATATTTTATTCAACAGCCTGCCAAGATTGGCCAGATCTGGACCCGATTTGGATAGAGCTACTGCTTGCCCCGCAATGATTGGACGTCTGTTTCGCGCTCATGGGGAGTTCTGTGCCTCGCATCCCTGGGAGGTGATTGTCGCCCTGCTGACCATCACGGCCTGCATGCTGACGGTGGACAAGAACAACACCCTGGACACGAGCAGTGGCCTGGGCACAGCCACGGCCACCGCCACCGGTGCGGCTGCGGCGGCAGCTGCTGCCGGCGCTGCCCCGGGCACAGCCATACCCATGGACATGCCGGCCTCCGCTTCGGCCACCTCGAGCCGGCACAGGCCGTGCCATGGCTGGAGTCAGTCCTGCGATGGTCTCGAGGCGGAGTACAATGCCGCGGACGTCATCCTGATGACTGTCTTGCGGTGTACGGCTGTGCTTTACTGCTACTATCAGTTCTGCAGCCTCAACCGCATGGGATCCAAATATGTGTTAGGTGAGTACCACAGAGAAAAAAGATTACATCACATCCCGCATCTTGGGATGGGTTCCGCTCGGTTCCGCTTGGGGCTGGCACGTGTGTTGACCAAAGCGATTAGAATGCTGTGCCGCGCCCACCAAAAAAAGAAAACTATTTCGGCGGCCCCCAAAAATGTTTGGCCAATGTTTTAGAGGGGCGCAGGCGGGGCTACCTGGCATTTCTCACGTGCCCTCTAAACGATTCGACCTCCGTTTCGGACACCGACTGTATTTTCTGTGTGTTTGGGTTCCCTTTTACAGGCATTGCTGGTCTCTTCACGTTCTTCTCCAGCTTCATCTTTACGACGGCCATCATCAAGTTTCTGGGCAGCGATATATCCGATCTGAAGTGAGTAAAACCAAGCAAACAATCCCCTCGGATGGTGTCTTAAACCCTTTTATCTCTGCCCTTCAGGGATGCTCTGTTCTTCCTGCTGCTGGTCATTGATCTGTCCAACTCTGGGCGCCTGGCCCAGCTGGCGCTGTCCGGCAACAACCAGGCCGAGGTCACACAGAACATAGCCCGGGGACTGGAGCTGCTCGGGCCGGCCATCACGCTGGACACCATTGTGGAGGTCCTGCTGGTGGGCGTCGGCACGCTTTCGGGCGTACAGCGGCTGGAGGTGCTCTGCATGTTTGCCGTGCTCTCGGTGCTGGTCAACTATGTGGTCTTCATGACCTTCTATCCGGCCTGCCTGTCGCTGATCTATGATCTGTCACGTACGGGCGTGGACATGTCCGTAGTCCGGGAGAAGGCCAAGGGTTCGCTGCTGCTGAAATCCCTCACCGAAGAAGAGCAGAAGGCCAATCCAGTGCTGCAGAGGGTCAAGCTGATCATGACCACGGGCCTGATGATCGTACACATCTACAGTCGCGTGGTCTTCTCCAGCAGCGACTACGATGCGGTGGACAAGACGCTCTCGCCTACGCTCAATCTGAATGTGAGCAATAACCGCACGGAGTCCGGGGAGATTACCGACATAATCATCAAGTAAGTCTAGCACTTTTACAGACCCATTTCCAGCCAGATATCTGATGATTCCCCTCTCCCCTCCTCCTGCGCTAGGTGGCTGACCATGAGTGCCGATCACATAGTCATTTCCATTGTTCTGATCGCTTTGGTGATCAAATTCATTTGCTTCGACAATCGCGACCCATTGCCGGATCAGCTGCGTCCGGCCAGCACAGTGGAGACCCAAACGACGCCCATGGAGGAGCCGAAGAGCGAGGCGGCAACTCCTCTGCCCGTGCGCGCGCCCCTTTTCACCATCGAAGAGCAGAGCTCGGCGAATGCGTCCACCCAAACAGAGCTGCTGCCCCAGATGCGACAGCGACTGGCGTCGCAGGTCAGCCACAGGCCAGTGCGTCCTGTGCAGGAGTGCCTGGACATATTGAACTCCACCGAAGAGGGTAATGGCCCCAGCGCCTTGAGCGACGATGAGATCATTGCCATGGTCCAGGCTGGAGGTCAGGCCGCTGTCCACTGCCCGCTGTACAAGATCGAATCGGTGCTGGATGACCTGGAGCGGGGAGTGCGCATCCGTCGGAGGATAATAGCGGGCCGGGCCAAGCTGGCCACTGAGCGGCTGGATATGCTGCCGTACCAGCACTTTGACTACCGCAGGGTCTTGAACGCCTGCTGCGAGAATGTCCTCGGATATGTGCCCATACCCGTGGGCTATGCGGGTCCTTTGATCCTCGATGGCGAGAGCTACTACGTGCCCATGGCTACCACAGAAGGGGCCCTGGTGGCCTCCACCAACCGCGGCTGCAAGGCTCTGTCCGTGACTGGGGTGCGCTCTGTGGTCGAGGACGTGGGCATGACCCGTGCGCCGTGTGTGCGCTTCCCCAGCGTGGCCCGAGCGTCGGAGGCCAAGCTGTGGATCGAGGAGGAAACCAATTATAAGCTGATCAAGCTGGAATTCGATTCGACGTCCCGGTTTGGCCGCCTCAAGGACTGCCACATTGCCATGGATGGGCCCCAGCTGTACATCCGCTTTGTGGCCCTCACTGGCGATGCCATGGGCATGAACATGGTCTCCAAGGGGGCGGAAATGGCGCTCCGTCGCATCAAGCGACAGTTCCCGGACATGCAGATCATCTCGCTGAGCGGCAACTTTTGCTGCGACAAGAAACCCGCGGCCATCAACTGGATCAAGGGCAGGGGCAAGCGAGTGGTCACCGAGTGCACCATTTCGGCGGCCACCCTCCGGTCCGTGCTGAAGACGGACGCCAAAACCCTGGTGGAGTGCAACAAACTGAAGAACATGGGCGGCAGTGCGATGGCCGGCAGCATTGGTGGCAACAATGCGCATGCCGCCAATATGGTAACCGCCGTCTTCTTGGCCACCGGCCAGGATCCCGCCCAGAATGTGACCTCCAGCAACTGCTCCACGGCAATGGAGTGTTGGGTGGAGAACAACGAGGATCTGTACATGACCTGCACCATGCCGTCGCTCGAGGTGGGCACTGTGGGCGGGGGCACTGGGCTGCCAGGACAAAGTGCCTGCCTGGAGATGCTCGGCGTGCGCGGGGCACATCCCACGCATCCCGGGGACAATGCCAAGAAGCTGGCCCAGATCGTCTGCGCCACTGTGATGGCCGGGGAACTGAGTCTGATGGCCGCTTTGGTCAACAGCGATCTAGTCAAGAGTCACATGAGGCATAATCGGTAATAAAATATGACATATAATTGACGTTGCCCCTTTTCTAAACTGTGTGCGTTCCGTTGCAGATCCTCCATAGCCGTGAGCAGCGCCAACAATCCTCTGAACGTGACCGTTTCCAGCTGCAGCACAATCAGCTAAGATTGGGTTCAGGACGGGCGACACGCCTCCTACTCTCCTTGTACATTTCTCTCTAGGTGTTATTACAAACAAAATATGGTTAAATGTTTCCGCGTACGATGATGGCCAGGTCAAGCAGCAGCAGCAGGGAAGGAAGCCTTCTAGAGTCCGCTCGCCGTGCGCACTCTTCATTGTTATAGCCTACTATATCTATATCTACTTCCATTTAGATTGTATAATCATCATAACGATAATAATATTTTTCTACCTATTATAAATGAAAGAAAAACCGGCGCAGCCATGAAAACCAAAGACAATATAAATAATAAGATGCACAACGACAGAGAAGAACAATCACCTTTGTATGCCATGAAGTTTTTTGCTAAAATAGAGTCTGGCTCTTAGACCAGGCTCAGGCGAGCCTTATATGGGGCGTTATGCATCTTACTATTCATATTGTCTCTGGCAAGAGGCTCCGCCGAGATCGGATCGTACACCAGACAATGCGATGTCTTGTAAGAAAGAAAAAAAAGAAGAGTATTCCTTAAGCGAAAAAGTAGTACATAGGGTTTTTGAATAGTGGACTAAATCAAAAAACGAACCTTTAATTAGCGCGATTTATGAATGTTTTCTTCTCTACTCTCTTTTTTCGGTTTTAACACATTTTTATAAACGAAAAAAATCGTAAATCGTAATGGATAGAATGTCTTTTGTAGACGCAGCTTCACTTCATTTATTTTACTTTTACGTTTTATTAATAATAATTATTAATAAATTATTATAATTAATTTATAATAATTCACTGCGTTTCTCATTCATTTAGTGGGGGGTGTTTCTGTTCTGTTCTCCATTTATATTTCGAAAAAAAAAACACGTAAGCAAGCGGCGGTTAATTTTGATCAGCGGACGACGACTCCTTGGCCTCGGCCTCGGCATTGGCGGCGGCATCGGCATCGGCATCTACGTCTTCGCTGGCCACTTCCATGGGCGGCACACAGACATCATCGCTGCTGTCGGGCTGCTGGACGAGCACCTTCTTGGGACTGGGCTCCATGCTGTCCGCCTCGGCAACGGCGGTGGCCGCTGGGGCTGATGACGAATCCTCATCGTCGTGTGTGGTCGATTCGGGCTGCAGGCTGGCGGCAACTTCAGAGGACACACCATTTTTCGTGTTCTCGACGGAGCATTCTTCGGGATGGATTAGCTTGCGGCGGGCAATGCGGTCGCCGAGAGACTTGTGCAGCTGGGCAATGTCCGCCGGACGACCCATGGCAAGAAAGATCTTCAGGGATCCCGTGTTATCGATGGCAGTCAGACGCAGTGACTTGGGGCTGGCCCGTTCGGCCACCATGGCCGCCCAGACTTTGGTATTCAGCAACAGACGGAGGTTGCCCGAGGTACGGAAGACGACGCGCGAACAGTCACGTTCGCCCTTGACATCGTTCAGGCGCAGACTGCCTCGTCCACGCTCCTCCCAGTTGCTGTTGACCCAGGCGAACAGCTTGCAGCTGACATCGACAATATTCAGTTCGTCCTCCTCCCCAGTGAATGTCTCCACCTCCTCGTACTTGCGCTTCTGGGCGCGGCTCTCCTCGTACTCGCGCGCCACGTCTGTCAGACTCTTGGCTTCTGATGCCTCAGATTTGTTGTTGTTGCTGCTGGAGCTGCAGGAGGCAGCCTCGCTGCTGTCTGTGGATTGGGCAGCCTTCTGAATCACGCTGGAGAACAGGAGCTGCGACGAGGAAGAGGGTTCCTGTGTCTGCTGCGATTGGGATGTGGCGGCTGCCGCCTCAACATTGTCTTGGTCTGTGTTGGTCTTCTCCGAGGAGCTTCCTGGGACTGCAGCAGCCACATGGCCGTCACCAACGCCGACGACACGCTCATGCACATTCTGCCCGAATACATAGCCAGTTGTCTGGACATGTGGCATATTGGTTTTGGCTGCTCCGAACATACTGGATCGCTCGATGCCATTGCTTCGAAGCTTGGTCAGCGGATCCGGCCGCTCATCAACTTCATCGTCGTCCTTCTGTTCTGCTTTTTCAATGGAAGAAGACTCCGGGGCAACCGTAGGGGCGGCGGCTGCGACGGCGGTGGCATCGGCCCCGGCATCTTCATTTCCTTCATCCTTTTCTTCGCGCAAAAATGGGTTGTTTGAGATGTTTTCATCCTCCGACTTTTCGTTGTTGCCGGCCAGCGATGTGGAACTATTGTTGCTGTTGGTCTGGGCACTCGACCCCAGAACGGAGGGCCCAAGCACGGGCGGACGCAGCACTGCCCCGCCCAAGCGCGAGGCCTTCAAGGTGAAGCCACCTCGGAAACAGTTACTTTCCACTGACGCTTCTAAAATAAAAAACAACACGAAAAAACAAGAATCGGATTTAGCTTCACTGCGCTAAAAATGCACTTGCCATGTAGGCTGCACTTTTCAACGCAGTGCCGGCGAATTCAAGAGCAATCCACGTGCGAGGGCTTTGCTTCAGCACTTACCATTATTTTCCGACATTGCGTATTCAATATATCGCTATAAGTTTTTATAAAATTAATTTGCCAAAATCTTTTCAACAAAAGAGCGCTCTCTGCCAAGCCAGAGATACAGTGTGACCGCGGGCTTGTTGTTAAAATATACGGTCTGACTATGTCACATATTCCTCGTTTTGGATTTCTCGTGGAATATAGTTAACTAGCTAAGATTATTACATCGATTTCCTACAAGACTGGTTAACTTTAAGTTCTCATCATTATTGAATTTCTTAGAGAATAAGGTTTAAACAAATCCGGCCAACAACGATTTCGTACATGGTAACTAGACGCTAACTACAATTTTGCTGCATATTTAATACATTTTCATGTAATTACTAATGGCGCCACCTGAAGGGGAAATGTGTACGTTTCAAAATTTTTTGCCCGTCTTTTTTCATATAAGCCCCATGGAAGCGCCAGTGTGAAAAACCTCCGTTATCCATTCTTTGATATGCCTATTTCCGACATTTTTGAACAAATTGAGATTTTGATGGCAAACGATCAATAACTCGATTAAGAATTAGTAGTGGTAACAGTAGTAGAAGACGTGGTGACAAGAAAACAAGAAAATCCGAACAAGTACACGGTCTGACCCTCAGAAATATACCACAATATGCCGTCCAATTTTAAAAATATACCGTAAATATACTGAAGTTTTATTATATGTACATATTCGGATTTTGATATTCTAAGGGTTTTATTAAGTCATGTCATCATTATTCAACGGAATATCAAAATTGATCAATTTTCTCTTACGTTTTATTTGTTTGACCATTTTCGCTAAAACCTCTTTTTACGCAAAATGCAATAAGAGCAAGTATTTAAATTATGCCAGTCAAGTAGAAAATTGATCAATGAATCGTATAAAACTATGTGGGCAGGGCTGAGAGATCTAAATAGCTAGTAATATTCCACGGAATATCAAAATCACACTATTTATAGAACTTGAACTCGACAGTATTTACGGTATATTTTTAAAATGAGATGGTATATTTTGGTATATTTCTGAGGGTCGGACGGTATATTTTATCGGTGAAATCGGCTGTCAATTTTGGCACTGAAAACAAGAAAATTTACAAGTCATCGGCAGTATAAGGAAAAGATCAGTAATAATTTAATTTAACTTAGATACTTGTATAGCCAGTCCACAAGCTTTCCAATAATGGCTCAGACTCTGGAAGACAAATCGATATGGGAGGATGGCGAGGAGTCGCTGGGTGAGGAGGTGATGCGTATGTCCACCGATGAGATTGTGAGCAGGACTCGACTAATGGACAACGAAATAAAGATCATGAAGAGCGAGGTGATGCGCATCACGCACGAAATACAAGCGCAAAATGAGAAAATCAAAGATAACACGGAGAAAATCAAGGTACCATCAGCACTTACATGCCCATCAGGGTAGAAATGTGAGACTGATTCTCGATCTTTGTAGGTTAACAAAACGCTGCCGTACCTGGTGTCCAACGTCATAGAATTGTTGGACGTTGATCCCCAGGAGGAGGAGGACGACGGCTCGGTCACGGTGCTGGATAACCAGCGAAAGGGCAAGTGCGCCGTAATCAAAACTTCCACGCGTCAGGCGTATTTCCTGCCCGTCATCGGGCTGGTTGATGCCGAGAAACTGAAGCCCGGCGATCTGGTCGGCGTCAACAAGGACTCGTATCTTATTTTGGAAACCCTGCCTGCTGAGTATGATGCTCGCGTCAAGGCCATGGAAGTAGATGAGCGACCCACAGAGCAGTATTCCGATATCGGTGGTCTGGACAAGCAGATTCAGGAGCTCATCGAGGCCGTGGTGCTGCCCATGACGCACAAGGAGAAATTCAAAAATCTGGGCATTCATCCACCAAAAGGTAAACAATCCATATGGAAATTCTAGTTAGTGTGATATTTAACCATCCACATTTGATAAGGTGTCCTTCTGTATGGCCCACCCGGTACGGGAAAGACCCTTCTGGCCCGTGCCTGTGCCGCCCAAACCAAGTCCACCTTCCTCAAGCTGGCCGGACCGCAGCTGGTGCAGATGTTTATCGGTGATGGCGCCAAGCTGGTGCGCGATGCCTTCGCTTTGGCCAAGGAGAAGGCACCGGCCATTATCTTCATTGATGAACTGGACGCCATTGGCACAAAGCGATTTGACTCTGAGAAGGCCGGCGATCGTGAGGTGCAACGTACCATGTTGGAGCTGCTCAACCAATTGGATGGCTTCAGCTCGACGGCCGACATTAAGGTAATTGCCGCCACCAATCGTGTGGATATTCTGGATCCCGCTCTGCTGCGTTCCGGCCGTCTGGATCGTAAAATCGAGTTCCCCCATCCCAACGAGGAGGCACGGGCCCGCATCATGCAGATCCACTCCAGGAAAATGAACGTCAGCACCGATGTGAACTTTGAGGAACTGTCGCGGTCCACAGATGACTTCAACGGCGCCCAATGCAAGGCTGTCTGTGTGGAGGCCGGCATGATTGCCCTGCGTCGGTCTGCCAGCTCGGTGACGCACGAGGACTTCATGGACGCCATCATGGAGGTCCAGGCGAAAAAGAAGGCTAATCTTAATTACTACGCTTAAGGCTACAAATTTGCAGTTTAACCCAAACCCAAACACATTGTCATTTGGTAATCGCTCTACGAAACCCCCTCTAATAAACCCAACTATTCAAAAATTCGAACACAAAAATGTTCACATATTCACAATCGGTTTTTTCTTTGCTTTTTTTGATCAGTACAACATTTATAATTTGAGTACGATATCTAAAAGGTCGTTTTTGAGTTAATAGAAAATATTAAATCGGGCGAAATTAGATGATAAATATTTACACGCACAGTAAATTAAACTAGGGAGTGGGGGGGGATGATTAAGCCAACTCTCACTAAAACTAATCAGTGGGATCGAGAGCATTCGCGCTGGCACTGGCGCCACTCGACGCCGCCTCTGTCGCACCGTTGCCATTAGACGTTGCCGCCGCCGCCACCGCCGTCGCCGTCGCTTTTGATGTGCCAGAAGCCGTTGAAGGATCTGGTTCGGGTGCCGGTGCCGGTGCGGGTGCAGGAGCGGCTGCTGTTACGTCGGCAACTACCGGAGGCACCAGCTGAACCGGTGCAGCAGCGGCCAAATCAAATGCTGGCTGCTGCGCCGCCGCAATCTGATCAGGTTGCTGGAATGGTCGTCGCGTATACATGATAAATCCCAACAGCAGAGTCAGTAATGTAATCGTGTACAAATCCCAGTTGGCGGCTATGTTTTCATCCAAATAGAAGATGAACTTATACGGGGACTGTGAGACAAGTATATCTGTTATATAAATCCTTATATATGTATGTACTAAATATATACCTCTTTGATTGATTCAATCTTTGCCAGAACCTGCAGCTTCAATAGCGCTATGGCCACTGGTACTTTGGCGTCTGCATTGGTTTCGGCAGCCAGATCATACAGCCGCTTAGCCAGATGCCAATCCTTCTTCATGCCCAGCCCCTGCTCATGCATGTATCCCAAGTTGAACATGGCCTGGGCATTGTACTGCTGCTCCGAGGCTTTCCTACAGGATTATAGAACATTAATACGTTATCAAGATATATGATATGAGCCCAGGCACCTGTATAGAGCAGCAGCAGTCTCGAAATCCTTGGAAGTTCCCCAGCCATAATAGTAGTAGTCACCGAGCTTCACTTGGGCAGCCGAATAGCCCTGGCCAGCAGCCCGCTTCCAGTAATAAAAGGCTCGAATCAAGTCCTCATGGCGGTCATTGAACACATGCACCTCCTCGCGGTCCAGCAGGAAGGCGGCATTGCTCTGGGCCACCTCATAGCCAACCTCGCCCATCAGGGAGTATTGCATGTAGGCCTCATCGATGCGATTCTGCTTGTAGTCGCTGTACGCATGCATCAGCCTGTTGCTCCAACGTCCTCGTTCCGACACGGACTTGAAGAACTCAACAGCTGTTGGGCAGGAGCGCAGCACACCCATGCCATAGGCATGCATAACCCCAAGATTGTAGTAGGCCAACACATGGCCCGATTGAGTGGCCAGATTGAAGTACTTGAGGGCCAGGCCGTAGTCAGTCTTGACCCCATTACCAGCTAAAAAAAAAGAGCAGACGATCCTCTTTAGAAAACAGCCCAAATCAAAGCTTTGGAAGTTTAAAAACCTACTAAAATACATGGTGCCCAGCTGGACCTGGCCATCAACCCAGCCTTGGTCGGCTGCCTGTGTGAAATAGGACAGAGCCTTGACTGGATCCTTGGGAACACCCAGGCCCTTCAAGTACATGACACCCAAGCCGCTCAGGCCCACAGGATCGCCCGTTTCCGAGGCCTTGGAGAAGTACTGATTTATGGAATGACCAAAAACATATTTAGCAATGGAAATGTGTGGTTATGTTTCGAGCCTCCGTCTCACCTTGAAGGCTGTTTCGTTGTCCGCCTTAATCTGTTCACTTCCCTCCAAATAGAGTTTGCCCAGAAAGGCAAAGCCAATGGCATTGCCCGCATTGGCCGCCAGCGTAAAGTATTCCAATGCCTTCTGATGATCCTGCTCAATGGCCTTGCCACCCTGATAGTAGAGCTGGCCCAATCCCACCTGGGACTGCACATCACCCTTGTCGGCCAGCAGCTGGTAGTAGTCGACAATCTCAGTCTCGTGGCTGCCGGGATTCTCCAGCTCATCCAGCAGCCGCACGCGATGCACAACCGGCCCATTGGCAAAGGTTACTTTCGAGGCCACCTTCTTGGCCACTCGCTTGTATTGGATCAGAGCCTTCTCGCAGCTGATGGGCACATTGATGCCGTACAAATAGCGATAGCCCAAAGCCATCTGAGCCAGAGTGTCGTCGCCCAGGGCGGCCAGAGTGTAGTGGATTAAAGCCAGCGGCTGGCTCACATTCTTCCCACCAACTCCGGCCGAATACATGAATGCCAGTCCCATGTGGGCCGAGGGCAAACCCTCGTTGGCCAAGCTCTCAAACTCGTCGGCAGCATGATGGAAATCGAACTCCATCCAGTGGCCCATGAGCACAGCCCAAGCGAGAGCCGCTCGGGCCTCACGATGATTGAAGGCCGCCGCC